GCCTGGAGAATTCCAGGTCAGAGGAGCCCGGTGGGCTATAGTCCCTGGGGTCACGAAGAGTTGGGCATGACTGAGTGACTAATGCTTTCAGAGTTTACAGGAATGCTCGCTGTGTCAGCGGGTCATTCCCGGCTACCGCTTGCCTCCTTGGCCAGAGACTCACTCCATGCCTGACAGTTCCGCAGGGATATGCTTCAAGTGGAACTTTGCTTCTGTTGTCTTACCAACTTATCACTGTGTCCTGAAAATCTGTTATTTCAAATGTGGACATAACCAAAATGCCATCAGTGCACTTGAAAATGGACTTTATTGCTCTACCATGCCTGAAAGTAAGAGGGAACATGTATATATACTATGATCAGCTAGGGTCCCATAGCCAGACTGCTCAAAGCCCGACTGTCTAGTATGAGTGACACACACACTCTGGTTCTTGCGTAGCTTCTCTCTCTGAGTGCCCACCCCACTTCCCTAGTAGAAGGAGGATGACCCACCATTCTAGTTTGCAGGGACGTTCCTGATTTTAGTAACACAATCCCCATGTTCCAGGAAGCTCCCAGTCCCCTACAAGCCAGAATGGTCAGTCACTAGTAGAGGAAGTGGTTCAAGTTCTGGCATCAGCCAACATGCTGTGTTTACCACACTGCTTCCTTCCAAGACTAGGCCCTTTGGCTCAGCCCGGCTTGCTTTCTCCTCTATGATAAAATTCATCCTAGGAACCCGCCCAGTCTAGTTTCCACTGGGGCCACACTCATCAGACATACCTGATGTGTCTAAACCTCAAAAAAGGACAATGTTTCAAATAGTTTATCCTCAAGAAGCTCTTCAGCACTTTATTTAGCCTTGTGTTCAGCTTCTCAAACCAGTGGATGCAAATGCCCCTCTGGTGGGCCAGATGCTGCCTTGACCCTACTCTAGAAATCCTGGAATCCCACTGCTTTCACATAAACAACATTCTGATGAACATCTAGTACTTAGAGCACTATGTAGAAATCTGATTGTTCCTTTAAGACAAATCCCCCCGAATATAATTGCCTTTGGCTTCTGATACATATTGCCAGAGTGCCTTTTGGAAAGACTGTTCCAATGAGCCGTTTTTTGATTTATTTTTTAAAGCACGCAAATTTGTATCCAGGATGAAAAGCAGCTCTGACCCGTTTCTAGGATAACAGAGAACATTCCATGCCAGGAAGTCCTTGCCAGAGGGTAAAGGGAGAAGATTTGAGAGGAGGTCTGGGAAGAGCAGTTCCAGAGTCCCGTGAAAGAACGCGCAGCTTTCATAAAGCACCCCCTCCCCCCCACTGCTTTGTGATTCCTGGGCAGCACCTTCTCCTGGAGTATTCAGGTGGTCCCTCCAGCTGTTTTCTTTTTCACTCAAGTCCAAATTACTGCGGGCTGTCCAGGTAGACCCCAGCCAGGGAATTTGTACTTGGAAGGAAAATAGAAGCTGGGAAATTGCATATCAACTTGCCTTCTTTTCTTGTTTGATTCCCACAGAATATATGGCTGTTGGCCTTCAGGAAATAAAAATAATGAGAAATCCCTACCCAGGTCACTATTAGCAAAATGAAACCATTGTCTAGTTGGCTGGAGAGTCATCAAAGGTAGGGTGGGGAATTTTGCTTTGGACAAAGCTCTGGGAACAGTGTGGGTCACTAATCAGGGTAACTGACAGGGCTCTGTGTATCTCGAAAGCCCTGGTCACAGGTCTCTGGGCTGCCTGGGTTAAGTCCCCTACTGAAGGGTTGGCTTGGGACCTCCCAGAATCAGGCAGGGAAAAGTTAAACCTGGGAGCATGGAACATATCAAGTGATTTTTTTAACCTATAAGATACACTCAATCCACATGCCAGGATGAAAAATATGAGAGGTGTGTGTGCGTGCCAAGGGCATGTATGCTGTTTCAAATTTAAGTAAAGAAAATATAAAGCATTCAAAATAACGAGGCTTGGACTTCCCTGGTGGTCCAGTGGTTAAGGACCCATGCTCCCAATGCAGGGGCCCTGTTGTGATCGATCCCTGGTCAGGATCCCACAAGCTGCAACTGAAGAGATCACATGTAGCAACTAAAGATCCCGCATGCTGCAACGAAGACCGGAGATCAAAGATCTTATGTGCTGCAGCTAAGACCCAGTGTGGCCAAATAAATAAAAATAGATATTAAAAAAGAAAAGCAGGGCTTCCCTCGTGACAGCGGTTAAGAATCCATCTTGCAGTGCAGGAGACACCAGTTTAATCCCAGGTCAGGGAAGACCCCATACACCACAGGGCAACTGAGCCAGTGTGCCCCAACTAATGAGCCCATGTACCACAATTAGAAAAAAGCCTGTGTGCCCTAGAGCCTGTGCTCCATATCAAGAGAAGCCACCACAATGAGAGGCCACCCTTGCAATGCAACTACAGAGGAGCCCCCACTTGCCGCAGCTAGAGAAAACGTGAGCACAGCAGTGAAGACCTAGCACAGCCCAAAACAAATAAATAAATATTTTTGAAAAAAAAATAAATAAATAAAGCAGATGCTGTGCTTGCATGAACAATTTGCAATTCTCCTCATGCAAAAGTTACTGGCAGTTGTTGACCCTTCAATGGCCAGTAAGGAAATAAGTAAGTAATATTACTCATTATTAGGTCTGATATAAATGCCGAGTGAACTAACTAGATATATATTCACATCATTAACCATCCAAACTAACACAAATAAAAAACCCAACTCCCTCAGCACACGGACAGGGTCTGGAGCAACACTTAGTCTTAATTGACCAAGTGTTTCCAACTAGAAATAGGCTTCCAGAATGTTCCACTTTGCTCTGAGCTGCCTTGACTTCAGTGAAAAACAGGGAACCAAAAAATCACTGCCTTGAAGGTCATGCTGAGACAATGTTTTTATTTGGATGCTTAACTCTCCTATGTCCCCTGGGGGGAAAATTCCAGTAGAACATATAGGAAACTTGGTTTTGAGCCCCAGAATGTCAATTGTCTGGTTGTATAACCAAGAGCAAGTTGCTTCTCCTTTCTGAATATCAGTTTTCTGGGCTTTAAAATGAGGAGTTTGAACTAAATTGTCTCCCAGAAACTTTTCACTTCTAATATTATCAGCAAAATAGCTCTCACCAAATACATAACCTGCATCTCTTTTGAGTTTTGGAAAAGTTCAGTTTAAAACTATCAATTGAATTTCTGTAGCCACCATTTGGAGAGTTACACGCTGAAGTCCAGATTCACCTTCTTGCCCTCCATTGTTTTACTGTTACTGTCGTGAGTGGCCTTGGGCAATGGCAATTTTCCAAGACCCTTGGGCATGCCAAAAAAAACCACCCGGAAAGTACAGTCTTGTGCCATTCATTGGGTTTCCTTGGCTTCTCAAAAGGCAGATTAAATACCCCTTTGCCACTGTCACTATTATACTTCTTCTATATCTTATCCTTTTCTGAAGTAGCTGTGATGCTCTCATCTAGCTTGCAGACTCTAGATAGACTGATACTCAGACTTCTCCCAAGCTGCAACTAAATGAACATCTGAACTGAAAACATTGCTGTCATCCAATCTGTTTATCTATAGGGCGTGGGTGGTTAGGGAAGGAATAGGCAAAAAGAAAGAGAGGCAGAAGGTGGAGGTCCTGCTCACCGTGTGTGAGGGCTATAGAGGGACTTGAGTGACTCCCAGTGGTTTCTTGGGAAGGTCCTTTGGCTGGCTCCTCTTCCTCTTCCCTAAGACTCTCCTGAGGACCGACTGTAAAGAGCCACATCTGTTGTCTCCCTCTATGGGTCTTCTCTAGGGGGACTGGGCTGCTCGAAAGGCTTCTGTTAGTGCCCTGCATGGAAAGACAACTCTCTTCTCCTTGAAGCCCCACCGCTCCTTGTCTTCCCCAGGCTTGTGTTTCTCGTCAGCTGGAAGACTACGTGGCCAATGACGAGCTCAAAATAGCGCACACCCAGTGGGCAAGTAATGCAACTTCCCTGGGCCAAAGGTGACTTATCTGCAAGACGGGAACAAGTGTCTACTTCATGCGCTTGTTGTAGACGTTAAACACTGTAATGTGTATGGAATTCATGCTTGACACAGAGTCCAAGCTGACTACAATGTAGTTATCTAGAAAGTCTAATAATTTGGTTGATGTTGGTTGGTGGCATAATGTGAAAGCGGAAAGCCCAGTTTTATGTATCTTTCAGGTTTCAGATTTCACTGTAACACAAATGTAATTTCAGTGAAAGCAACAGGATGAGAATGTACAGTCTTTCCTATGGCCACTAACTTGTGTGTATAGAATTAATGCTCAGCACACAGTAAAAGCTGAATGAAAGGTAGTTATCTAGAAAGTCTAAAAATTTGATCTTAGTTGGTAGCATAATGTGATAGGGGAAAGTTCATTTTTAGTGTCTTTTTCAGGTTTCAGATTTCATTATAGCACAAATGCAATTCCAGTGAAAGCAACAGGATAAGAGTGTTCGTTCAGCCACTACCAACCCTGGGAATGAACAATACTAAGAGGGCTATTTGGACAGTTGAAGGTTACATATTTACAGATGGGATTTTAAGGGTGAAAGCCCATTTGTAACCCTAAGGTGTTTAAACAACCCTGCAACTTGATCTCAAATTCCCCCAGCAGTATCTTAACTCCTCCAGCCTCCTGTCTGCGGAGCCAAGCCCTCCTTCCACACCCACCTGTCAGTTGCTGGAATGGCTGGGGCTTTGTGTGGCTCCCAGCTGTAACCTGATTTCCACAACTGTTCAAGGGGTGCTGCAGCTGCCATGAAATGTGTACGTTTTACAGCACTGCACAGTGGCTGGGGTCAATGGCATGCCTCTGAAAAGTTTCTATTCATTCACTTACTCACTCAGTAAAACATGTTAAGTACACTTACTATGGGCCAGGCCCCTGCTAACTAGGCACTGGGAATAGAAAGGGCGTAAACCAGGGCCTCTGTCTTCCAGGCTGGCAGATTAGCAGCAGGTGTAGACAGACAAAGACATATTACAACACAGCATCATGGTACAAGAATAGGAGTGGACACACACCTGAAAGTAATTAAGCACCCAAGGCAGCGGGAGGGAGGAAGGAATGACTTCCTACAGAAGGGACTTTTGAGTGAGCTGTTGAGCATCTCTCTTGGCTGTCCCATCAAATCCATGCCTAGTTCCCATGTCACTGTCAAATAAGTTCCCAGTTTCTTATTCACCTCATCTTTGCACCCACATCTCCCATCACCAACGCACACCCAGAGACACTCCCAGTCCAGCATTAAATCCTGGCATTTCTGCTTCTGTCTCCCTTCTCCTTTTCACACCTTTGGTCCAAACTGTAATCACTGCCCACCTGGACCCAGTTAGCTCCCCCTCCTCCAGCCTGAGCGGGTTCCCTCTCATCTGTCGGACACACATCATCGAGAATCATCTTCCTCAAGTGTCACTTAGATCACATTGCTCTCCTCTTCACATGCCCGTAAAGGCTCCCAGCTGCCTCTCAAATCATAATAAAACTCTTCGCATCTCGGACTTCAAGGCCTACCACCAATTAGCCCTGCTTTACCTAACTGCTGTCCATTCCTGCCCAGCTCAGGTTGGCCCGCCTCGCTCCAGCCAAGCAAGGCCCTTCCACCTGCGCTGCCATCCTGAGGCGCCCAAAGACCACCATGTGTGTACATTTGCAGGTGTGTGCATATATGTGCTGGGCATGGGGGGAGCTTGCCAGGGAGGGAGGAAGAGACAATGGGAATCACTACTCCCTTCATATTCTGTTCTAGGGAAATTTTAAAACATGAGCACCAAGGGTAGAGATGGAAAAAAAAAAAAAAAAGAAATACCCAAAAGAAAGTAGTGGGGTGGACCTCTGTCCCACCAGGAGGGGCTGCTGAGGGCGCTGGTGCCAACCGTGGGCGGCTGAAAGGGCACACGAGCCAACACCAGGTGCCTCCGCTCATCGTGGTACACTGCCTCCTGTCTTCCTCTTGTGTGGCCTTGCATTGCTTTTCCCAGGCTGATCTCTTAAGTAACTTTGATGTGTAAATAGATTCAAGTCATTCGTATCCTTAAAACTCCTCACAGCTTCCTCTCAGGGTGGACTGTAGCTCTAACCTTCACTCAGAGGGTCCTCCTCCTCCAGCATCATCTCATGCCACTTTCCTCTTTCCTCACTGTGCCCTGGACATGCTGGGTGCTCCTCCAGTCTCGGGAATACTGCAGGTTCTCCTGCCACAGGGCCTTTGCACATGCTGTTCCCTCCACCTGACATCTTCTTGATCACATTCCTTCCTCAGCTTCCATGTTCCGTCCCTGACACTTTCATTGTAATTCTCTATGACAACAATACTCTGTCCGTTCCTTTCACTATAATCTACAAGTAGCAGTGTGTTTTCCAGTGGACTGGTCACCCCCATGAGTAGGCTGCAAGCTGCTTGTGACAGAAAACTGTCTTGTCCACTAAAGCGCTCCTAGCACTGAGTAGGACGGAAGACCTTGCTCAGCCAACACCATCTGGATTTTTCTAAAGCACAGACACCTTGTGATTGGCCCAATTTTTGGTCAAGAGGAAACAGTCTGGTCTTCTAGGAGGCTTCCTTCTAAAATATCTTGCACACCCAATCCACCAGGCCACTCTCTCTTGTTTTTCAAAGTCTGTTCAAGAATCTCCCATGTCTGAGACACTTTCCCAAACTAACTCTTCCTGATTCTGGACCAGAACTTGCAAATTGCAATGCCTGCAGAGACCAGGCAAGTAGCTGAGAGGAGCAGACCAAGTGTAGGTACCAGGGAGCACTGGGGACCACGGTTAACGGTCCCACATAAAGCTTATGTCCCACATGAAGAGGACAGTCCCTGCTCAGTCCAGTGGGTGTTAACATGCAGGAAAATCAGGCTCTGTATCATCAGATTTTCCAACTAGTCAAGATAGCTGAAAAAAGAAACCTGAGTCTCCATATGAAACATCCAGATCTTTAACATGGTGAAGGCTGTTTCTGCAACTGTATCCTCCTGATGGTCAGCTTCTGCCCTATTCTCTCAAGGACGTTGCTTGCGTTTATATGTGATGAGTATGCTTTGCTTGCATTCCCGAGTCCTGAGCCTTGTCCGGTAGATGGGGCCGGGCTTCTCCCGGGGCCAGAAATTATGCCCTTGCCTTCTTTGCAGTCCCTCCAAAGCACCTGTAAGCACCAAACGCTACTCTCCCTGTCAACACTGGCGACTAACAAAGCGTCTCTTACAAAGGCAGCAACTGCCTTTGCCATTTTGGGAACAGAAGCCTGGCCTACTACATGCAGAAGTGCCGCACTTCACAGAGGCTCATAGATTTTGTTCATTAGGCCTTCATCCCTCAATCAGTGTGAGGGTTACAGACTCTCTCCACTTCATCCATTCTCCTTCTGCCTTCATGTCTTGTTAAAAAGTATCACAGCCTTTGTTCTAAATTCCAATCTCTTTTGTGCTATGATGATAATGTTAACTTTGTAATTGTGCATAAGTCAGCAAACCAGAGTACTGCCTTATTCATCCAGCATCGTCAGGAAATGAGGTGTTCTACATAATTAAATTGTCCAGATAACTAGAGCTAACCAACACTTTAAAGATCAACGTTTTAAAAAAGGGTAAATGGAAGCATCCCCAAACGTATTATATACCCTATTGCCTTCTTTATTTTTAAATTATTTTATATCATCTTTTTTTCAGAATAGAAACAAAAGAGTAGAGACTGATAATTAAGTCTTCCTCCTGCCCCAGTGCCCCAGCCTCCCACTTTCCCATCCCTGACGGATGCTACTGGCTTATGGGGGTATCTCCTTCTGCAGATATTCTATATGTACACACACATTTTTTTTTTTCCACAAAAGGTGACGTGCTAGGACACAGCAGTGCACCTTGCTTTTTAAAATCTTCTATCTTGATCATCATTCTATACAATGAATGATTGTATAGAATCATTCATAAGAGTTCCTCATTCTATACAATGGCAGCATCCTGTTTCATTGTGGGGTGCGGCATTATTTATTTAAGCTGTTCCCTACTGATAGGCATCTAATTGTTCCCATCTTTTGCTATTATAAAAAAATTTCTGCAGTTATAATCTCCTTATTTACTCCATTATTGTACATGCCTGAGGATCTCTGTAGGTGAAATTCCCAGAAAACAATCACCAGGTCTAATAAAGGATATGTGCGTTTGTAATTTTGATGACTATTGTTACACAGCCCTTCACAGAGTACACACCATGTTTTTTCTCTTGCCATCACTGTATGAGCGGATTTGTTTCTCCACACCTTCATTAGCACAATATGTGACCAAACTTTTCTTCTGAAGTTTTGTCAGTTGGTTAATAAAGAATATAAACTCAGTTACTTAAAAAAAATTTATATTGTAGAATGTGGCTCTTATAAACTATCCTTCTTTGTCTCTTCTAATATGGTTTGGCTTGAATGTCTGTTCAGATCTTATGCCTACCTTTTATTTTTTCATTGTTTTGATGTCTATAGCATTCTTATTCCCAAACTGAAGAAAACCAAAGTGTCCCTAAATTGATGAGTTGTGGTATGTAAATGGAAAAATTCACAAAGGAACAAACTATGATACATTCAACTACATAGATAAATACCACAAACAATGAGCAAGATAATGCAGACACAAGGGGGAACATATACAGCAGGGTTCTATTTACATAAAATTCTACAGTAGTTATGCCTACTTTTTAATTAGTTTGTTCCTTTTCTTATTTGGTGGATTTTAAGAGTTTTTGGTATATTGTGGGTACAAGTCCTTTATCTGATATTAGGTTTGCAAATATTTTCTCTGAGTCAGTGGCTTGTCCTTAAATCATTTACTCTTAATTTAAAAGCCTTCTTGTTCTGAATGAAGTTATATCTTTTCCTATTTTAAGAACCATTTATATTTCTCTTTCTATGAATTGTGTAGACATGTCCTTTGAGTCTGTCATGTTAATGACTTAATAGACCTCAGGAAATTTAACCCCTATTTGAGAATTGAATCATTAACAGGAACAGTGATTGCTATACTATACTGTGATTTTGCAAACTGCTTTGTTCTCTTGACCTCTTATATTTGTTTTTGGTTTTGGTTTTAGTTTTCTCTTCCCTCCCTAGGTTTTAGGATATGAGCTATCACATTTGCTTTCCTCAAATGTCTGTCTTTCAAAACCCTTGCGCTATCTTGTAATTTACTACCTCTGATAATGAGACTTTCTGATACTCAAACAATAGAATTTGTTATAATAACCTGGGAGGCCTGATTCTTGAGTTGAGTTCACAGGCCATAGCACATACGGTTTACATCTGTTTTGGTCATTCCGGAGTCTTTATTATTTCCCGGTTCCTGGTCTTCTTCAGGATATTCAGAATCATCCAGCAAGTGAATTCCTAGTTCTAACATTCTCTAGAACATTTGAGGGTAATCACAGGTTAGAAGTCTTAGTCATGAGTAGAGCCCACGTGCCCATATATTACTGTACACATAAATATCATTGCCGCAAATAGAGGAAAACATACCATCTCACTCTCTAAAGCAGCAATATGAACTTATATTGCTGGGAAACTGTAAACACATGATTTTTCACTGGTGTTTGCATGTTGGGGCTCAGTGCAATGCCTGTGCTTACAGTTGCTGAACATTTCCCTGTGGCTTTGAAACAAACTAATAACCGAGAGTTCCCTGGAAAAGGATCCACACCATGGTAGTCCTGCTACATCCCATAGATGGCAGTAAACACACTTTTTAGCACTTTGCTTCATATTCATTGGGATCAGGCTCCTTCAGGGGAAGAAAATGAATGCAGAAACTGTGGAGTAATAATTAGCAAACAGATTCTAGTCATTTGAAAAATTGGCAAGAAGCCTTATTAAAGGAGGTAATAATAGTCATATTTTGCACTTCTAATAGGGCCTTTTATCTCTAGGCCTCCAAGAGCCTGTCTGAGTCATGTAAAGAGGTTAAAAAAAAAAAAAGAAACACCAAACCTGAGCTAGGTCAGAAGTCAGGAAACAAGGGCTCTGTTTGGCATTCCGTAAGACTCTCTCATTTCAAAGTGAAGGTAGAGTGTCTCTGATGCATTTAAATACCAGGAATTTATGCCAGTTAGAAAAGGCAGCATAGCACTGTGAGATAAACTCCACATTCCAGCTTAGTACTGAAAACATGCTTTGCCCAAAGTTGTTTTTTGTGAAAATAACAATAGAGCTTTAAATGCTTTGCGTTATGAACACATGGACAGCATTATTATTCACAGTGCACTAGACAAATTGAGAGTTTTTTATATCCTCTTCCGTGTATCAAGGCGTAATTATCAGTACATGCTTGTATTTATTCCTATGAGGCTGGGATATATTCTGCCGCTGATGGAGATCAGTCCCATGAACTCGATATCATTCATGCTTTATCTCTGGCAGTGGTGGTAGCAGAAGAAAACCACTCCTAACATGTATACACAGCAAACGCCTTAAATCTACAAGATATGGCTGTCCTCCCTGTCCCACAGTAAATCCGTGTCTTCAATTTCCCACATAAACTCCAGATCTATTGAAATCTTGGAACATTAAAATTCTTCATTGTTGTCAAGGTTTAGTAACTTGACGCCCAGAAGACAGACACCCTGAGTATTTGAGGGAATGTGGGTTTGGAAATAAAGAGGAGCAGCTTTTCCTGGTACATT